AGGATTTGGAAATTTTGGTTTTTGTGGAGTGAAATCAACATTTGATTTAGGACGAAAATTTTCAAATTGTCGACTTTTAACACTGTTTTCGACATTTGTGTTTTGAGAAAATCGATTTTGAAAATTATTTGATTAATTTGGTAGAGGAGTGTGTTTTAAATTTTGATTTTGAGAGAATCTTTGTTGTGAATGAGAAGAAAATCGATTTGTGAAATTTTGATTTTGAAATTCCTGTGATGAATGATTGAAATTTTTCGAAAATGATGTAGTGTCTTGAGTTTTAGCTTTCGAAAATGTAGTTTGTGAAATGGATTCAGACAATGATTTATTAAATTGAGCGGGATTTTTCTGATTGCCTGAATGTGATGAAGAGTTAGTCTTAACAGATTTAGACTCTGTCTTTCAGATGTTTTCTTTGTCAAACCATTTTGTTTCTTTCGAGACTCAACAGTTTTCCAGAAAATTTTCTTTCGTGCTTGTCTTTTTGAAATTTCATTATCTTTCGAAAATTTGTCAATTTGATATTTAAATTCTTTTGAGTTGATTTTGACAAATTGTTCAACTTTCTCCTCAATTTCTTTTGGAATTTTGTTTGAAACTTTTTGTTTTTTAACCCATTTTCTTTGAGGTTTTTGTCTTTGAAAAGTGTATGTATTCTTTGTGAGATTATTTTCGATAATACTCTGATTTGCAAAAAATCCTTCATCAGATATTTGTTTGTTATCTTCTTCAACCAATTTGTTAAATTCTGGTTTAATGTTTTTGACATTTCCTTTTGTCACAAATACTTGGTTTGGAAAAACAACATCATCTGTGGATTTAAAGTTCGGATACACCACTTGATTAGTTTTGAGATAATGAGCACCCTTTTCAGTCATTACCTTGTCGAATTTTTCAGTGTCACCATACACCTGATCAACAACAATTCGTGGAATTGTTGTTTCTCTCGAATCTTTACTTGTTGATGGTGGTTTGTTCGAAACTTCATCATCATTTTCATCATCACTGCTATCAGTTTGACTATCTTTGACTCTCACATGATCGAAATCAAAAACTTTCGAAATTGAGGGTTTGTCAATGTCAATCTTAACCAACGAATCATTACACTTTTCTTTTCCTTTAGCCTTAGATGTAACATTAACGATAGACAACTGAGAACAATCAACATCCTCAATATCACTTATTTCGCTAATATTATCAAAATTATCTTCAATATCAGCAAAATTAGATTGAGAATTAGATGTCGAATTCTCAGTTCTTTTCAAAATTTTAATTTGTTCAGTTTTGGTCAAGGTATCATTCACAATATCAACTAATTCATCTGCATCAAGATATTCGTCAATTTTCACAATTCCATAAGCATATCTATCATCAGGAATTTTATCAAATTCTGCAATTGTTTTCTCACAATCATAGGAAATGTTATCAACCTTCTCTCTCTCGTAAACTAGAAAAGGTAATAACTTCCTATGTTGTTCCTTGCTTATATCAGATGAATGATGCAAAGCAGTTAATTTCACGTAAAGTCTTTTAGCAGAATTACAATATATGTTTCTTTGTGCTAACAACAATTTGACTTCACTACTCAAAGAATCCCTATCACACATTATATTTGTAATCTGTAACTCTAGACATTCTACTTTTATTTTCTTGGAATCTAACTGCTTCTGAACATCTAGCAACTGAGAAGTTGATTTCTTAGCCTCGTTACTAGCAGAGATATCCAAAGTATTGAAATAAGCAACAGTATCATCAAAAGCAATTGATTCAGAATCATACGCACTTAAAGGAATATTAAAAGATTGAAGAATAGAACGTACCTTTGTTGTCATGGGTGATTTATCTCCTCCTTTGGTCATAAAATAACGACCAGTCATCACTTCATCATTTTCTTCCTCAAATTTTGCATACATCGACCCATGCGTAGGATTACGCATTTCCTCATCATCAGAACCCGAGGACCAGATTTGGTATATTCCTTCATCATCATTCTCACCTTTCACCACAAGAGAGATTCCTTTCGCTTTCGCCCTCACTTCCTCCAGGCGCTCGACATAGTATGCTTCGTTTTTCACTTTATTTTTCTTTTCTTCCTTCTTTCGAAGCATACAATCACTAGACATATGGTTTGCACCATGACAATAGTGACAATCAATTCCGGAGTCTCCTTTCAGCTTTTTCTCAACTTTCTGCTCTTCCACTTTAACATCATTCTTCGCACTCTTCTTTTTCTCTTATCCTCCTGCTTTTGCCACGAATTTTCCTTTTCCCTCACCAATTTTCGTCTTTGAACTAAAAGGTTTCTTGAAAAACTTATTCACCATATTATTCGAGTAAAATGCAACAGCTTCATCGTCCGAATTAACCAAAAATCCTTCATTATCAGAATCTTCCTTTTCGACTGACTCTTTCTCATTAACTTTCGACATCAAAGCTAATGGTCCTCCAAGACTCATTTTAGATTCCTTAGCAATTTCATTTACTTCTCCTTCATGAGTTTTTAGCAGATTTTGTACAAGTCATTAAGCGTCGAAGTATCGAAACTCTACTGAGTTTTTACCATCAATGTTACATTCCTCCATTCTTTGCGTAAACCCATGATGAATGTCAGATTGAACTCCATGGTTGTTCGAGTAATTCCATGGCGATTACATAGTAATCTTAGTATTTTCACTTCCTTGAAACTTTTCTTTGAGATTGTTCCAGATGTCTTTTGCAGTTATATAACTTCTGACATAGTTGTAAACAACAGGAGGCAATGCACCACACAATTCTCTCATACATCTTTTCTCAAGCTTCTTCAGTCTACCAGATTGATCAGCAACACTTGAAGTATCAGATGAAGATCCAATTGCTTGAACATTTGGTGGATGAGTACCGTTTCCAGTAATACATGACCAAAGCTCCTCATCCAGCCCGTTCAAGTAGTCTTGCATGCGATCATCCCACTGATCATAGTATTCTAGGATAAGCATATGAATCTTAGTTGAAGATCCTAGCAGATGAGAATAGGATGTCATTGAGTTCAGGTTGAAATTAGCCATGAACGTACGGATGAATTTTTCAGAAAAACTTAAGAGATTTTGGAAACAAATAGCTGAAACGATCAGAGATTTCAAGAAGAACACTCGATTCAACAAATCAGTTGCAGAATCGAATCACAACTGTAGATCAATAACGATTTTCAACACAAAAGACGCGGAAACTTTTGAATACAGAATTTGATTAAAAAACCTTTTGATTCAGAATGAAAATCAGATCGCAGAGATATGATTCCTGCTCTGATACCGATTGATGAAGTATTGAATCAAGTAATGAAATCAAAATCAGAGTATCGAGAATTGAGAACACAAAATGTAAATAAGATCTAGTTTCAGCTCATATTATGCTTCACGGTTACAGAGAGAAAATAGACAAGACAATCTCCAAAACTCTTATCTAACTCTAAGTAACATTCCCTATATATAGGAAAACAGTAAAAGCATACAAAAAATTACAAAGGACTAAACTTCATAGTTTCGACATAATACACCTTTGCAATATAACATTACATTTCGACACCTTACAACACTACTTCGACCCTTACAAAGGTGGAGAACATTAAACATACGTACAAAGTTTTGTTTCGATACTTGGATTAGGATAACTCCGTCCAATCAACAATTGTCTAGAGTTTTTGCTTTAAACCTTCATCAAAATTGTTTAGTGTTTGATCGTCTCAATTTGGACTTGTGGCTGAATTATTTGAGAAGGCGGTCGAGAGCGGGAGTTGAAGGTGGGCAATAGAGTGGATTATTGGTTCATGCAATCCAAAATTTTGATGTTTATTGTCAAAATGATTGGTTGGATTAGACTTAGATGTGATGAACGAGTTCTCTGTTTTTTTATGTACGTTGCTTTCTGGATAGTGGCACTTTGGTTACAAATGAGGTGTCAACTAGAGGAAATAATTTTGTTTCTGTCGATAAATGTATAAATTTGGACTTTATCCTTTGTCTTATTTGCAATGGTGTTATCGAGACTGTTTAGTCATGTCTTTATTTCTTGCCTTATGACTATAGATATTTGGAAGCTCATTGGTAGATGATGGAATTTAGGTAACCGAAGTTGTAACTTGGTCAATTTTTTTTTTGAAACGGCAAACTATCCTACTCCTAATCTAATCCTAAACACCACCTCTGTCTCCTAATGAGACTTGAACCCATGACCTCTCATTTGGTTAAAGTGGGCGGACACCTCGAACTTAAATGTGGCGCAACATAAATGTAATACACTTAAGAAACGAGTTGGTTGGCTTTACAAACTTTCTCTAGCTATTACTTCGTTGTAATATGCTTTTTACTAGCCTCCTTGCTAGTAGTTTGATATAATTCTGTTCTTTTAATTAAAATTTATGTTTGAAAATAATTAAGAATGTTATTCGAATATTAAAGTAATAATCACTTTATTAAAATAAGTATTCACATCACATGCCACATGAAATTGAATGATCTTAATTTGATATTTGAAATTTCGTCTTTCTATTGGAGAAGATGATAGAGAGGAGTAACCGTTTAGCCTTCACTTTTCCGATAAGGACTTTTTTAACCTACAAAAATCGAGTTTAAACCCCTAAACTACAAATAATAATAATATTAATAATAATTAATTAGGGACGTTAAAAAGAAAAATTTGTAGAGTTAAAACATTAACCCTAACAAAAACGACTTTCAATTTCATTGTACGGTAAACAGGTAGAAATTCGTACACTCGGTAACACCATTGTTGTCGTATTCTTGTATCTTTCTTTGGAAACCTGCTCCAGCTATGCCCCCACCTGTAGGGTTCGATTTAGCATTTCCCTCTCATGTTTCTGCTTCCTCTCACTTCTCAGTTATTAAAGGTTTTTTTTTGCTAGTTATGGGGCTAGCCCATTTGGCTAACAGGGATATTTTAATCTAACTACAAATTAGGAGGTCCTGGATTAATCCAGACACAAAAGATATTATTTTAGAAGGTTTGGTAGGCATAAATTTTCCTTCAAAATTTTACAAAGCAACAGACTAGGATTTGGCAACGATCGACTTTTTCCCTAATAACATCTGTACACGAAGTGTTCTTAGACTAAAAAAGATTGAATCCTGCATAATTACACTTCATATCTTTCATGGTTTACGTAATTGGTTTTGCTGCAACTGAGTACCAGAAACACAAGAGTTGACATACGCGAATTGATCTTTGAATTTTGATTCACCCTCTGAATAATCTGTAATAACAATATCACTCTCTCCCACTAAAGATGTGCAATTTCCCACCTGTCAAAATTCATTTTAGCAGCAACCACATAATGTAAACCTTATAAAAAACAGAGGGAAAGAAAATGATTACATAGGAAACTCGAAGAAGGGAGAGGTAGTGGTGTCATCAAGAATACTAGGAAAATATTGTATTTGTCTTTGAAAACCTGTTTCGTTAACGCCATTGTTGTCGCATTCTTGTTCTTGAACATGCGGTGGACCTGAAGATGCATCTGAAACCATTGACATATCATCATCTTCTTCATCGTATATGGAATTTTGAAGAGGATCCAAAGTATAGATCGAGTGTCCCAAGTACAAAGTCCAACCCGATCCACACTCACTGCTGCATTCTGATCCGAAATCTTGTTCCATTAATTATTTGCCATTTTTGTTGTAAAGATTTGAAATTTGAGATGGGGTTTTTTATTGTGTCTTTGAATTTGTTGAAGAAACTTAGAGAGAATGAAATGTGTGGTGATCGTAGAATAGTTTTATCGTGATGTACAACACTTGAGAAGCTAAGTCTCCTGGTTAACCGATAAGTGCCACTTGGAACCCCTAAAGATGGCAAGGCATCCCTGACAACACGTTAATGAATGTCAACCATTCATTGTTTGGCTTTTAGTGGTGTCGGATATCATGACCTCTTGTTTTATGTGTTTAGAGAGGAAAACATAGTATATGTGTTTTTTTTAGGGTGATCTAACAAGACATCTCTCAGACAACCCCAACCCATTGACACCTTTATAAGAAGTCAATCTATAATTAACCATTTATAATCAATTTTTTCGAAAAACAATGCAATTTCAACCAATAAAAATATTTCAAAATTTAATGAGTGTGTCTGTATGGTAAAATTGGGTGTCTATTTAGTCAACCCTTTTTTTTATTGATTTTTGGATTGTAGGGTGGTAAAGGTTTGATATGGGTTAATAATCTTGTTGACAAATAAATAGTCGAAAAAGAAAATTAGAGGGCACACAAACGATTAGGCGATATCAAAATCAGACAAAGAAAATAGCATGCATGTTAAAAAGGGTTACAAATATTACTTGATAAATAATTACAGAATGAAATGCATTTTTATATTTTATATTAGGTTATAACCCGTGTAATACATGTTTGATAAATTAAAATAATATAGATAATAATTATAACAAAAATATTTTAAACAAATTTATAAAGGGTGTTTATAAAAATATAAAAAATCGAGAACGAATGAGTGGAGTAGATGATTATTTATAATTGATTGATTGATTACTTATTTTTATCAAGGATCACATAATTGGTTACTAAACATTTTGAATTCAAAATCTCTATTAATAATGCTAAATTTAAAGGACTTAGAAAAAGATTTAAATTTAAACGTAAAATCATAGAAAATAACATTAGTCATTTTAGAGAGTAGGAAAAAAGAAATTAAAAATTATAAAAAAATGACAAGTGATAAAATTTGTACTATTTTATTAGAAGAGATTCACTTGAGCAGTGAGTAGTTGCAAAAGAAATGAATATTTTTTATGCACATTAAGGTTTTTAGATGGGGTGATACTGATGTGGCACCAACCTAAAGCCCATGTCCAAACTGTTTTTGGGAAGCTGCACAGTGATTCACATTTTCTTCTTCCTGATTACAAAATGTATAGAGAACATTTTGTGTACTGACACCGTGCAGATGCATATTAGGCAACAGCGGAATCCAATTTTACACAAGTCTTCAAAAAAATATTAGAGAGCTACTCAAGTAAATAGTTGAAAAAGAAAATTAGAGGGCACTCAAGCGATTAGGCGATATCAAAATCAGACAAGGAAAATAGTATGCAAGTTAAAAAGGGTTACAAAGTTGATAAATAGTTATTAAATGCATATCTATATTCTATATTCTATTCTGGCCATAATGCATACAGGCATTTGGTTCATTTGGAAGGCAATGAATGCTACTATTTACAAAATAAAAGGCAACCTAATCCATGGAAAATGGTAGATGAAATTCAATTAAACATGTTTAATTGAATTAATTTTCGAGAAAAAATTCCTAGTCTCAATTGGCACAATTAGTGTTGCTCCCCTTCTACTTCTAGATTAATGTAATTGGGTCTATGGTGCGGATGGGGGTAGGTTTCTTTATAAAAACTCATCTTGGTGTGTGTTTAGGGCATACCAAGATTGCAGGGATGTGTTGGGTTCTTTTGGTGTAAGTATTTGTTCTTATAAACAGCGTAGTTCAAACTCTAGGTTTCTACGGTTGTTTGGTATTTCTTTTCATTAGGTTGGTGTTCTTTTGTGATATTTTCCAGTAGTGTGTGCGTTTCGTGGTATATTAATCTTTTTTTTGGGTTATCTTATTCTAAGTGGTTTGTTGGATCTTAATGTTTTTTTCAGGGTATTCTTTAGTAATCTAAAATTCTCATTTGGAAGTGGGTTAACTGATCTGTAAGAAAAGGGTTGAGATAATTAGTATTTTGGTGTAACCTTGGTGTCGTATAACTTTGCATGAATGTATATGCTTTGGTGTGCATTGCCTACGTCTAGGGTTCAATAACAGGATTATATTTGGCGACTGCTTTTGCTGTGAATTTTTTCCTTGGAAGTTCATTCCTAATTTGGTGGTGGATGATGTTTCTGAAGTTAGCTTACAAAGTGATGTTGATGACCTTTTTACCCTCCAAGATATTCTCAGTGCCTATTTGATATCAAGAACGGTGGTTTTAATGCTTGTCATGTTGTTATTGATGTAACGTCCCATTTTTCAAAATAAAATTTTCATTTTTAATAAGGTAAAATCATGATCTCCACAAAACCCAAGTCAAACAAAACATAAGTATCAAATACTAACATCCCAAAATATTAGAGTATCAAAACACGCGAAATCAAGTACCTGAAACACAATAAATAAATAAATGTAAGCACGGAGCTTAGTGACTTCCCCCAAAATACCACCTACAACATATATAACAATCCATGGGGGATGCGAGTTTCGATCGCCAACGAGCACGAGATTTCTGCTTCTTCGGTTTACCGGGGATGCGAGCTGGAGATTTTCGGGGTATCATTTCCGATAAATTTGATTCCTATTCCCATGGGGGAAGTATGTGTGATCGTAGGGATGGATTGGCTCAGCCGGTTTGGCGTCATGATCGACTGTGAGGGACAACGAGTAGTAGTTCGAACCCCAAGTGGGGGAGAACTGGTGGTATATGGTGAGGGCACCAGAGTAGGATCAGGGTTTTGTTCGGCCGCTAGGGCTCGACAGTATATTCAGCACGGATGTGCAGGTTATTTAGCGTGTGTGGTGGACATGTGGGTCAGGGATCAGACTTCAGTTTCAGAGGTCCCGGTGGTTAGAGAGTTTGCTGACGTGTTTCCAGAGGAGTTACGTGGAGTGCCTCGGAGAGGTAGGTTGAGTTCAGGATTGATCTGGTACCGGGTGCGGCCCCTATCGCTAAGGCGCCGTACCGACTGGCACCGCCAGAGATGCAGGAGTTGTCATCTCAGTTGCAGGAGCTGCTGGGTAAGCAGTTTATTCGTCCGAGTAGTTCCCCATGGGGAGCACCGATCCTCTTCGTCAGGAAGAAGGACGGTTCGCATAGGATGTGCATCGACTACAGGGAGTTGAACAAGCTAACGGTGAAGAACCGTTATCCACTCCCAAGGATAGATGATCTTTTCGATCAGCTGCAGGGTGCATCTTGGTTTTCCAAGATCGACTTGAGATCCGGGTATCACCAGGTCAGGGTGAGGGAGGAAGACGTGGAGAAGACCGCGTTTCAGACTGGTTATGGTCATTACGAGTTCGTGGTGATGCCGTTTGGGCTCACCAACGCGCCGGCAGTGTTCATGGATTTGATGAATCGGGTCTGCAGACCGATGCTCGATCGCTCGGTCATTGTGTTCATAGATGATATCTTGGTGTATTCCAAGACCCGAGAGCAGCACGAGGAGCACCTTAGGGAGCTGCTGGAGGTTCTGCGACGAGAACGGCTGTATGCCAAGTTCTCGAAGTGTGAGTTTTGGTTACGAGAGGTCCAGTTTCTCGGACATCTCGTTAACCAGGAGGGGATTTTGGTCGACCAGGCCAAAGTAGAGGCGGTTATACAGTGGGAGATTCCGAAGTCTCCCTCAGACATCAGGAGTTTCTTGGGATTAGCAAGGTACTACCGGAGATTCATTCGAGATTTTTCCAAGGTTGCAGTACCCCTCACTCGTCTAACGAGGAAGGGGGTGGATTTCCGGTGGGGCCCTGAGCAGCAGAGGGCGTTTGAGACCCTTCGACGATGTTTATGTGAGGCGCCAGTGTTGACGCTCCCCGAGGGAGTCGAAGATTTCATAGTATTTTGTGATGCGTCCATCACAGGTCTGGGGGCGGTCCTCATGTAGAGGGGACGGGTGATAGCCTATGCATTGCGGCAGCTGAAGCCGCATGAGACGAGATACCCTACGCACGATCTTGAGTTGGGAGCAGTGGTATTCACTCTCAAGATTTGGAGGCATTATCTGTACGGGGTCCGATGTACTATATACACGGACCACAAGAGTTTGAGGCACATCATGGATCAGCCGAACCTGAATATGAGGCAGCGCAGGTGGCTGGATGTAGTCAAGGACTATGATTGCGAGATCCTTTACCATCCTGGTAAAGCGAATGTGGTTGCGGACGCTTTGAGCCGCAAGTCAGCTGGGTCTACTACCCCAGCAAGGTGTATGAGGATATCGGTGGATTCCCCGCTTGTGAGTTTGATTAGGGAGGCTCAGGCTGAGGGCATGAGACCAGAGAACTGGAAGTTGGAGCGGATTAAGGGCGAGAGCACCCGGTTTGTTCAGGATAGCTGCGGATTATTGACCCGACACGGTCGGGTTTGGGTTCCGATGTCCGGAGGGGGTCCGACAGACAGTGATAGAGGAGGCTCATAAGTCTTACTTTTTCTATACACCCGGGGGCCACCAAGATGTATCGCGATTTGAGTTTGAGCTACTGGTGGCCATGTATGAAGCGAGAAATCGCTTGGTATGTTGAGAGGTGCTTGACCTGTAGAATGGTCAAGGCCGAGCATCAGAGGCCGCATGGTAAGCTGCAGCCTCTGGAGATTCCCATGTGGAAATGGGAACAGATCACGATGGACTTCATTACGGAATTGTTGAGGACGGCGAAGGGGTTCGATGCTATATGGGTCATCGTGGATCGGTTGACCAAGAGTGCCCATTTCTTGGCCATACGGGAGAGTTCGTCGGCCGAGAGATTGGCCGATATGTATGTCAGCGAGATTGTCTCTCGCCATGGGGTTCCAGTCTCCATTGTTTCCGATCGGGATGTCAGGTTTACTTCCCGTTTTTGGCAGAAGTTCCCTGAGGAACTGGGTACGCGGCTGCACTTTAGTACAACGTTCCATCCGCAGACCGATGGACAGAGTGAGCGAACCATTCAGACCCTCGAAGATATGTTAAGGGCGTGCATCATTGACTTCGGTGGGAGTTGGGATTCCCATCTACC